CTTCCACGCACAGGTGTAGGGCTGGCCTAGGATCTAGAAAAGCTTTGTGGGGGTCTGGGCATCCTGTGGGCGTAGCTTGGAGAGCTTTGAGTCGGTGCACATTTGCTCAGTCCTTGCTAGGTGCCCCTGGCCTCGCTGAGCCTGCAGGTGCTAAGGTGCTGTGTTGATGCAGGCCATTTCGACAGCATGATTTCCGATGCTGGGCAGCCCGTCGGTCCGTTGGGGAGACCCGAGGGCCTTGAGAATCTGTGCAGAAGGGGCAGCTAGGTGGCACAGTGGATAGAGCACCAGCCCTGAAGTCAGGAGGAGCTGAGTTCAAATCCAGCCTCAGACCAAACACTTGACACTTACTAGCTGTGTGACCCTGGGCAAATCACTTAACCCCAATTGCCTAAAAGTAAAAAAAATTTAAAAAAAAAAAAAGAATCTGTGCAGAGAAACCAGTGGAAAGCATCTGGTGGATTGCCGAGGCTTCAGAGGCCCGTTTGAGCAAACAGGGGCAGGGAGGGTTAATCGTGGATGGCAGAGGAGGAGGGGAAGGTGCCAGTGGGGGTGGTAGCTGCCAGGCCGGGGACAGGGAGCTCATCTGACACCTCCAGCTCCTAATTAAAAGGGAAAATGTAGTCTATTATCAGCTCATTAACTGTGTCTCTGGGACCAGCAATCTAGGCAAAAAGTCTTGCTTCCTGCTGGATAATCAAATTAGGGTCCCTGGGGGGATCAGAGGGGTGATGAGGAGTGAGGCCGGATAATGAGCTGGATGCAGAGTGGTGGGGCAGGAACCCGGGGAGCCCCGGAGATGGGGCGAAAATAGAGTGTCTCCCCTGTCACGTCAGGGTCCTTTCAAGACTTCAGGCTCTTATAGGGCTGTTGATGCTGGTGTGTGGCCCAGGAATTTCCAATGCCAATGTTGTTTTGTCCCCTGCAGGGGAGCCCATCTCAGAGAGACCCCCTGCTCTGCCTCTCCCCATCCTCCGTTCTCTCCCTTGGCTCTGAGGTCCAGGAGAAGGCACCCTAGGTACAGCCTTCTTTTTGACCTGAGTGAGCTCCTGGAAACAGAGGCCTCATAGGAAAAAAAAATCTCATTGTAGGCATATCTTTTGTTTTTAACATCATCCTCATTTCTGAACGTATCTCCACCCCACCCCCTACTTAGCACGCTGTCCTTCGTGGCAGATGCGGAAAAGAAAGCAGGAAACAGCAGTTAGGAAAACCAGGTCTGATAAATAGGCAGTGTTCTGCACCCCTGGGTCCTCACCTCTGCAGGGGCAGCTCTCTTTAGACCAAGGCTTGGTTTTTGGTGTTTTTATTTAAACAGATTTTTTTTGGTAGCTGTTGTTTTTACGTCACTCGTTTGCAAATAGAAAAGAAAGTCCGGATCTCTAAGCAGACCTCTGTAATGCAGGGTCCTCCTCTGCTTGGATAGATGGGCGGCCATGACTCGGGAGGAGCTGCCGGATGAGGAGTTAGAAACGGGGGCAGGGCGTGAACCGCAGGTCTTTGTCAGGTGTCCTCGCCTGAGCAGAGGGGCACACGTCTGGCGCTGTGCCTGTGGTGATGGCAGTGAGACGGCGGGCATTTCCGTAGCCCATTAGAGTTTGCTTGACACTTTCCGTAGTATTTTGTTTGGTCCTCACAGCAACCCATTACACCCCTTATATAGATGAGCAAACTAAGGTTCAGAGAGGGTAAGTCACTTGCCTGGGTCATGCTGCTGGTGTCTGAGCAGGATTTGAACCCAAGTCCTCCTGGCTGCAAGCATGAGCACCCTTCTTTTGCTGATTCTCCCGTTCCGTTCCCATCCCCCATCCTTCATTCTTCTTTCTCCCTCTGCCTTTCTCCCTCTGTTCTTCTCTCCTTCCCTTTTTTCCTTTTTCCTTGTTTTCTTTCACCATCCAGTGGATCATACGCTTAACTTCTCCTCCCCGGCCCTGTTAGCTCAGTGCTGGCCGATGCGCCCACCCTGACATTCGTTCATTCATTCTTTCTCTGTGTCTCTCTGTCTCTCTGTGTCTCTCTATCTCCACCTCTCTGTCTCTCTCTTGCTCTTTCTCTGTGTCTCTGTCTCCTCTGTCCTCTTTCCTCTCTCTTCCTAATCTCTATCTCTCTGTGTCTCTCTGTCTCCTCTCTGTCTCTCTGTCTCCTTCCCATCTCTCTCTCTCTTTCTCTCCCCCCCTTCTCTCTCTCTCCTCTTTCTCTCATTCTCTCTCTCTCTCTCTCTCTCTCTCTCTGTCTCTCCCTTTATCTTCTCTCTCTGTCTGTCTCCTCTCTTCTTTCTTTCTCTCTCCTCTCTCTCTTCTCTCCCTCTCTTTCTCTCTCCTCTAATTCTCTCTCTGTCTCTCTCTCCTCTCTCTGTCTCTGTCTCTGTGTCTCTCTCTCTCCTCTTTCTGTATCTGTCTCTCTCTATATCTCTCTCTCTCCTCTCTCCTCTCCCTCTCTTTCTCTCTCCTCTAATTCTCTCTGTCTCTCCTCTCCCTCTCTTCTCTAATTCTCTCTCTCTGTCTCCTTCACCTCTCTCTCTCCTCTCTCTCTCTATGTCTCTCTCTCCCTCTCTCTCTCTCCCTCTCTCTCTCCCTCTCTCTGTCTCCCTTTCTCTCTCCTCTCTCTCTCCTCTCCCTGTCTTTCTCTCCTCTAATTCTCTCTCCCCCTCTCTCTCTGTTCCTTCACCTCTCTCTCTCTGTCTGTCTCCTTTCTCTCTCTCTCTCCTCTCTCT